ATTCGATATAAGAGTAGACCGTAGTGCCGCTGTCCGGGAAAAATTTCCCTCATAGCACAATGCATGACGTATGCCCGTCTTCATTAGCCGAATTCAGAGCAGAACAGTGGGACGTTAAACCCCATTTCATTTCACCAAATTTCAATGGAATCAAGTTGGTTCGCTAACCTGGAGGTCCCGTGTGTGATCCAGGTGTTGGCCGAGAAAGTTCATCAGGATATTCCGGCGTGGTTTCCCCTTGTCACTGATGCAGGACAGCGGGCCTGGCAAGTAACAACATATGAGTCATTAGGATGGGACGATAAACTGAGGTCCCGTGTACACATTGGCGTTCACGTACAAGAACACTTAGAAATTGGAATTCAATGTAAGAGTATGCCGGGCAAACTTTCCCTCATAGCACACTGTATAGCGTAAGCCCGTCTTCATTAGCCCAGTCGGGTCAGAACAGTAGGCGTTAATCCCCATTCCATTTCATTTTTCCGAATTTCCATCGAGAATTTTACTCCTTAATCACCAATTACGAATTTCTAACGAGTTATTCCATTATATTCAATCATATCACCGGAAAGGTTTTGATGTCAAACTGTAAATGGTGAACTATCCAGCCAGATTTGAACATATTTAATCTGCACAATATACGGCAAAGATGAATTTCGAAAGGGTTTTTCTTTAGAAATGAAATGGGGTTTAACGTCCTGCAGTAAATATATTAATTCCACCATAAATTGAGTCCTGTGTCACGGTTACGGGGAGACACTTTGCGAAATTTGAGAAATGCAACATAGTTCTTCATCATTACTAAATGAACTACGCTTTTTGCAAAAATTCCGAGCAACATGGTTTGCCTTGGAGCATACACTAACAAGCGGCAATCTTGGTCTAAAATTGTCTTACTAAGCTTATGATATAGCATAGATATTTTTGTTGTTCAAAATAGTATTTTTTAAATTTAAATGGGGCCACTGAACTAAGATCCTTAACCATTTATACCGATCGTCTATCTGGAACCTTATTCTTAGACAATTCCAGATACACTTGATTTTTCTATTCCCAGGCAACAACCTGAGCATGGCAACCTTTATAAACTCCAATGTGACCCATGGTAATTGTAGGATTCCTGAAAACACCTCGACAGCCTAAAGATTTTTTTTTAAAAAATGGATGTTAAATGTAGCTGGAAAATGTCGGTAGCAAAATATCCAAGCTTTAAATAATAGGTATGAACAAAGGCATAGTCTCGCCTAGTTAACTAAAAATCAAGTCACTAGAACAACCAATATTTTGGTCCAAACGTTCGATAAACTATGTGAAAATAACTTCAATAACCTTTGCACCTCCCTGCACGTTTCTCCGAAATAGATTATTAGATTTGCCCCAAAATAATATGCACAATTGTATACTTTTTATCAAATCACATTGGATTGAAAATGGTGGTTTTGCAGACAGAATTAAAAAGTCAAAGTAGTAGCATTTCTTTAATACCAACAATTAGAAACACATGTTTTATAACAAAAATCATAGATCTCTTTACATGTCAAAAAAAATCAGGTTTTAAATTACTTTATTACGTTCTAAAATTCAATAAGAAAAATAAAAGAGTAGCATTAAAGTGATATATGTTATGTACATGTAGGAGTGGCATAAATCTCAGACTAACTTTATTTTAAGAACCGAGACAATAAAAATAGACTTCTTAAAATAAACATATAGGTCAGATCAACAGATTTTGTTTTGAGAGCAGGAATACATAACGTTAGACAGACATGGGCATACATTAGTGTATATATCAATTCTTCGATTATAAACGTTAAGATTAAAGTAGCAATATTGTTATTAATTTCATAACTTTCGACAACTCAAATTCATAAATTAGTCGACAACGAAATTATCCGAAAGATGTTATACATTATTGTTGTTCACATAATTTGATAAGGATCTTCAGCGATCTAAACACTGTCGTGTTCACATTAATCACAAACTTGAAAAAAACCGTTACAAATTGTAGCCTCTATCGCACAACTAGGTTTTCGGACGAGGGGGTTAATGTAACTCTGGAACTGAAGGTCACAGAACGCTCAATATCGATAGGGCCCACTGCTGCACACCAAATTTCAATTAAATCCGTTAAAAATTGTAGCCCCTGACGCGTTAACAAGGTTTCCGGAGAAGGGTGGAGGGTGCTCCGGATCGCTGAATTTGGATAAGATTAATCCTCTCGCGATCTCAGTGCTTCAATGCAACTATTTTTCTTAATATGTTCAAAGGGGTTTTTGGACAAGAGGGGTAACTTCGGAACCTAACTTTGCAAAGCGCTAAAACAGATAGGGTTTCGCCTTCTTATGACCCTTATGCATCGCATCAAGTTTTGAAATCTGTTTGTTAAAAACTGTAGCCTCTATCCCGTTAACAAGGTTTTTGGGAAAAGGGTAATAACTCATGAACGAGGGCATTGAAAATAGATAGGGTTCGTCCTCTCAGCATCATACTTCTTTAAAGCTGAACTCCGATTACAAAACTACAGAAATAATTTTTAAAAAAAGGTAACGCCCTAAACGACCGTCCTACTTGTTTTCAATTTGTAGAAGTAACATGGCGATCGCTTAGGGGTAACAAAAACACAGACAGGCCACGCCCACGTTCAGTATAAGCCGTGACAAACAAACTGTCCACATCCGGTTAGCTAGCCAACTATGGCGGTATATTACATTCAAAATTCTAACATGCTATCGTCTAATTTCTTACTTCCATTCATGTAATTTCTAACTTCCATTCATGTAATTTCTAACTTCCATTCATGTAATTTCTAAATAAAGACAATGTATAATCCAACTTCTTTATTTGTTCAATGTAAATTTTAATTCTGTTTCATCTTATTTCTATTATTAAGACGAAAAATGTCTACTTCATTGTCGCTTTACATGTTAGAATTTTGATACTTTTACCTAGCAACCGTCATTATGACGACGTTTGGTGTCGCCACCGTGTGCTCAATTTGGCGATTGAGCACCTGATCTGGACCATTCTGTTGATACAAACGACTCGCTCTTCGTAAGGTTGAATGGTTTGACAGAGTGTTAAAATTAAATACATCGAGAGAAATGAAATGGGGGTTAACGTCCCACTGTTCTGCTCCTATGCTGGGCTAATGAAGACGGGCATACGCCATACAGTGTGCTATGAGGGAAACTTTGCCCGGACAGCGGCACTATCGCCTACTCTTATATCGAATTCCAACTGCCAAGGGATCTTTTACGTGCATTCCAATGTATACACGGGACCTCTGTTTTTCGTCTCATCGGAAGGACTAGACAGCTGTCCTTGTCAGGCCCTCCGTCCTGCATCACTGACAAGGGGGAACCACCCCGGAAAATCTGGATGAACTTTCTCTGCCAATGCAGGGATCGAACACCAGACCTCCAGGATAGCGAGCCAGCATCTTACCCACTTAGCCCCGTGATCCCCATACATCGAGAGAGAGAGAGAGAGAGAGAGAAATGGGGTTTAACGTCCACGTGACACAAGCTAAGTCATTTCGGGACTAACATATGGGCTCAATTTTTATTTCAATAATTCGCTTGCGCGTAGTGTCTTTAGCAGTGGGAGGAACCTGGAGGACTCGGAGAAAACCCATGAGGTTGGACAGGCGAACATACTCCTTGGCACGTACAACCGGGAAATCGAAACCACACCAGTTGACTCGATAACAGACCTTATGATACAGCGCGCACGTACTAACAACTCGGCCATCCAACCCCCCAAACAACACCGAACGTGATATGGTTTACAAATACTATTTCAAATATAAGCTAAACAGCATTAATTGCTAATTTTTTATTTAAAGCAAGTGCAGGATTTGGAGAATTTTATTTTATTTTATTTTTACAATTGAGCCAATTAATATTTATATATACTGTACGGTCTATATTAACACAGGGTACAATTTTATGGATACACAATTACTGAGTTTAATACTAAGCGACGTTTCGACGAGGATACACTCGTCTTTACCAAGCCCGTCTCTCTCTCTCTCTCTCTCTCTCTCTCTCTCTCTCTCTCCCTCTCAGCAAATTTCAGCACTCCTGTCCAACCTTCAACCCGGCGAAGGACGAGTCGTTTATATTAACACAATGGTCCCGACCAGGTGCGCAATCACCAAATGAGCACGCAGTGGCGACACCAAGCGACTTCATAATGATGGTTGCTAGGTAGAATGTAAAAATTCTAAATTCGTTGATTTTGATGCTAAACGTGTAAAGCATCAATGAAGAAGACGTTTTTCGTCTAAATAATAGAAATAAGATGAAATAGAATTAAAATTTACACTGAACAAATAAAAAAGTTGGATTATACATTGTCTTAATTTAAAAGTTAGAAATTACATGAATAGAAGTTAGAAATTACATGAACAGAAGTTAGAAGTTAGACGAAAGCATTTTAGAATTTTGAATCTAATATACCGCCATAGCCAACTACCAATTATCTCCTGACTGATCGAAGATCTTTTACTATCACTACTATCAGCTAACTAAAAATATTACATGTATTGCTACACAATTATTATGTCTGGTCAGGTACATATTACTCTGATAACTTTTACATCTCCCTGCACGTTTCTCCGCAATGGATTGCTAGATTTACCTCGAAGTAAAATGCACAATTGAATAGTTTTAATCAAATCACATTGAATTGAAAATTAGGTTTGTGCAGATCTAGTTGTTCGGATATGACATAGAACGGTGTCCCGTGAACACATTAGAGCGCACTTAAAAGAGCAAATTATGGCGATTGGAATTCGATTAAGAGTAAGTAGAAACGCCACTGTTCGAGCAAACTTTCCCTGGTATTTCGACAATGCTTTTTCTCACTTGCAAGTGAATTATACTATGTCAAATAACATCTAGCTCGTTATCAAAAATACCTTTTAGACTGACCGACATTATAACTCATGCTCTTCATTTAATTAAAGAAACAAATTTATAACAAACATATTAACTCACAGGAGAACCAGCAATGAGCGAATATTAAAATAGGCGCTGCTGTTTCTTCACTTGATACCATTATGACAACGGATTTTCGCTTGAATGACTGTAGGGAACTGGTCCTTCTGTTGAGAAACCTGAAAAGTAACCGGAAACGTTTGAAAACGCTCGAATTCGACGAGTTTTCTAATCAGGGTATAGGGAGTGGGGTGGCTGTGCCCCCACCCCCACTCCCTTCGAATAAGTGCCCTCCCTGAAAAGTGCCGTCCTTTTTGAAAAATGCCCTCTCTTCTCAAATAGTACCCTCCATTCTGAAAAAGTACCCTCTCGTCTGATATTACCTCAAATACTCATGGAAATGTCCGCGACAATGTCACATTTGACCCCCTTTTCCTGTTACCATCCCCTTGTTCCAACCAGATCCTGTGACACTAATAAAAGCAATCACGCTCAATGTACGTATATGCGCTATTGGCCACCGACCACTCCTCGCTGCTGGTTTGCTTTCATCCTCAGTGGGACAGGGAACCAGTCAACGTTTCTGGTGATCGCGTAAATGTGGCTTGTATTTCTCTAGTTTCTTTTTCGATTAGGGTGTGCGTTAATCAGTGTGCAACGATGGGCGGTTCAGGGTCGTCCCCTGGAAAATTTTGAAAATTACATCACAGTAGATGAGATTTAGGGCACTTTCCCGTGGGTTTAGATAGAAACTGGAACTCATGATTTCGTTGTCTAAATCTGTGGATAAACAAATAATTGAGTTTGCATATTTGAATATCATGCAACCTAAAGTATCCCACATCGAAGTGCCCAGTTATTTATACAACAACCCACGTCCTTCATAAAATTACGTTTGTCATCCATAAAGCATGATCGACCCCTCCCAAACAACCACCTCCTCCATAAAACAGCACCGTCCTTCATCACAACATTGCCCTGTACTCTAGAACCCCTATAAGCCATCATCCTCTATAACATACCCCGTCTTTCATAAAACAACCTAGGTCCCCCACATGGGCATAGTGTGGACTTTGAAAACTGTACATACCGAGGCATGTAACAGGGAATTTTGTAAACCGAATACATATTATTCTATTAACAAGACTGGGTTTATTCCAACTCTTATACTAGTACTCATAGAATACAGATTGATCTATTAACTAAACTGGGTTGATTCTAAACTGTTAAATTAGTACTATACCACTACGGATTAATCCATTAACTACTGAGATGATCTTAAACTGTAATACCAGTACTCATCGAGTACAAATTGGTCTATAACTAAACTGAGATGATTTTACAACATATTCTCTTTTCATTATTTATTTTTTTTACTTGTATCTAATCTTACCTAATACCACTTTTACTAAACTGGGTGGATTTTAATCTGTTATAATTGTACTCACTGAATACAGATTGGCCTACTACTAGTGAGTTGATTTAAACTGGACTCAACGAATACAGACTGATCTATTAACTGCACTGAGTTGATTTTAAACTGTTATACCATTATTGATCTATTAACTATATATATACTGAGTTGAATTTTAACTGTTATACCAATATTGATCTATTAACTACACTGAGTTGATTTTAAACTGTTAAACTAATACCCACTGAATACAGATTGCAATCTACCAACCAGTGAGATGATTTTAAACTGTTAAACTAGTACTCACTGAATACGTTGCTAACAATGTTCATGTTCAGATCTTCAGGACTTAATCCCTCAACCAGTGTATGGTTTGTCATGGCTCAGATATACGTCAGATCAATTCTAGCATGCGCCATAGAACCCAAACTCTCCTGTCGTTGCCCATCCACCTCCTTAAGTGCATTGAGTTCGATACCTTATATAATGTTGCAACATAACAGTACATGGAAACTCCGTTACACACTATTCCTTTCCATTTCCTTAACATAGTCGAAAAAAGCCAACCTCCACATGCTACAATAATAATTAGGAATAAACTGTATAATCTATGCTTAAATTACTGAGAAATCTACACATTATGGTTAACAAATTTGATATTTACGAAATGAAACGGGGTTTAACGTCCCATTTTTCTGCTCCAGTCGGGCCAGTGAAGACGGTAATATTCCCGATATATGAAAACATGGTTATGGTTTATAGAAGTTAAAACCTATCCTTAAATGACAGTGTGTTATTATGAAAGTTAAAACCTATTTTAAACATCCAGATCTGGAAATACAAATATATATAATCTGCAAATGTAAAACGCAAAGAAAAATATACGCTGTGCAAAAACTTATATTTATACTAAATAAGGACGGACGTTATGTCTTCCTGGGTTATGCTCTGCGTCGTGCATGGCAACTTTCACTAATATTAAAGCTAATTAAAACCATGGTTTGGATTTTGGTTCTCATTTTTTGAGTGCTTGTGAGAGATACGGTTGTTTGGTGATCTAATTGTCTAAATTGGAAGTTTTAAATGATAAGGTCTGCCATTGAGAAAAGTAAGAGGCAGTAAGGTCGATGGCTTAACTTCATCGGTTTTCTACGAATTATCCGGATTCTTCCCACTGCAAAAGAGTTTTGAATAACTTAAATTTTTGTAAAAATTAAACTATTTCTGACTACGCCGTTATCTATTGTAAAAGTTGTTTTATTTATTGTTTTATCTGATCAGTGATTATTAGATCATCGTTTTAGTAGCAGATCTTAATCTCTGCCCATAGTGGGGGTATATAATTAGTGAGTCAAATTACCTACATTAGATACACATAAATTAGTGGTAATCTAAAGATGGTAGATCAGGATATGTATCATCACTGTAAGCATTGAAAGGGAAAAGAAGATAATCGTTAATGCCCCCTAATGAGTTAATGTGTTTCGTATCATACCTTATGTAATGTTGCAACATAACAGTACAGTGAAACTCCGTTACTTACTAGAACATAATGCTATCTAATATTGGAATACAATCTTACTGATAAGACATGTATCTGATTTTAATTTCGCTAGCTCAAGAAAAACAAATTAGTTGTTAAATTATTATATATGCCAATTCAGCTAAGATGTCAATCAGACCCTGAATATTTATATGACGGCTCAGTCTGTCAAATTAAAAAAGAAAAGAATGCAATATTATATCAATGTATAAATCAAATTTTGAAAATAATATACGGGGTAACCCAAATAAAACCAGACCCCAATAAATTTGTTGGGCGACTTACACTTCAATCTGTGTACGATCATTCCCCAAAGTTTCAGTTATCTTGTTCGCTCTGCATAAAAGTCATTTCATTTCAGAATATGCTCCAAATGACCTTGGCGCCGTTGAAGGCAAACTTGCAAACGTCGCGCAAAATTGTCAATTACTCGAACACGTTCGTCTTTGGGGATTTCCGTTCAGTTCACCAATCGTTTGAGGGTTCTTCTGGTACACATTATCACTGCAAAAATCCAACTTCGACGGTTTCTTTTGCACGTCAATGTATAAACGGATGGACTTCGTTTTTTGTTTGTTTTTTTTTTTTGTCCCAAGCGTTAGCCCTTACAAAGAGTGGGGATGGAGGCGGAATTGAAAATCCCGAGATTCCTATCGGCCCACGCCGGTATTCGAACCCGGAACGTTCTAGTCGAGAGCCTGGTGCCCCTGAAGTTCGACTACCGAGGAACCCAGTCGTTTTGGGGTTCTTCTTGGACGCATATGCAACGAGTCCGAATTCAATTACTTAATGTCGAACATTAGTCATACTTGTTCTTGATCCGGGTTATATTGGAATCATGTAATAGAGTTGGTTTTTTATTCTTAACCTAACAAAGGGATACTTTATCATTGCAACAGAATATGTTAGTTATATAAACTTCTCAACTCAACTTTCTTCACATCACAACTGCTTTAAATTTTTTATACCGTTAGAATTTTTTATCAAAGGACAAATACAAAAAGGCAACACAAGTTATTGTAAAAGGGAACTTGTATATTATAGTGTTACAGTCGATTTTAAGGATCAAACCATAAGTTTGAAGAATCGAAAAATGGCCTTTTTACGCTATTATTTAAACAACTAAAACACTAACTGATAAATTATAATAGATGAAAGACTCGCAAACTACACAGACAGACAAGCAATAAACAAACGTATATATCAAATCAAGTGAAAAGATGCTGCTCAGATGGAATCCTTTTGTGTGAAAGTTGGTGAGAGAGAGGGGGGAGGAGGGGGGGGGGGGGCAGAGGACCCGGAGAAAACCCATGACTTTGGACAGGCGACCCTACTCCTTGTTATGGAATCGAAACCACGCCACTTGACTCAATGGCAGACCTTACGATCAAACGCGCACGCTTTAACCACTCGCACCCTACACCCCCACCCCACGAAATCCAAGCTGGTGGTAACACGGTAACAATGAAACTAACCTAAAATAGAGTGAATATGAGCAGTCCCAAAACAGGTTGAATAAACATTCGCAAAAAGGGTAAATAGGAAAATCCTTAAATAGCGTATTCGATGCTTGGTGTTTATCAATCTTTTAGATTCTATAATTACTATTTCCTAGTTTCATTCTTTTTTTTTTTCTAAAAAGTTGTATAATGTAAAATATACATTAAGATACAGTCTGTATAGAAAATCTGTGGCACGTGTCATTAATTACCTGAACGTTATGTAACATAATTACACTAAATTTAGAAAGCACATCTTGGAATAACGGGTAATACTATTAATACTACATTTCTTATAAACATTCTATAATTACTATTTCCTAGTTTCATTCTTTTTTTTTTCTAAAAAGTTGTATAATGTAAAATATACATTAAGATACAGTCTGTATAGAAAATCTGTGGCACGTGTCATTAATTACCTGAACGTTATGTAACATAATTACACTAAATTTAGAAAGCACATCTTGGAATAACGGGTAATACTATTAATACTACATTTCTTATAAACATTATGGCCAATAATGGAGAAAAGAACTTTATTTTAGTTATTTGAACGTTTCCTGGCATGGACTTTCATTTTTCGGGTGTTGGTTTCAGAAGGCGAAAACATTATTTCTTTCTGATTTGACTTTTAATAAAGAAAACAACTGATTCTATTGGTTCCCCTTGATGTATATCAGTTTTAAAGAAAGATAGACTATATTTAGTTAGGCCCTTTGATAAAAGTTATTCTGTTGTTTTCTCTTTAAAACCTATTATCATTGTCCTTCACGTGTTGGTGTGTTTGGTTCGGTTTCCAAATCCCGTTACACATATGATTACAAGTTCTACCAAGTAAATATTACATTGGGTGATACTATCAAAGACACCTTTCTCTCTAAACAGTTTTGTATGTTGCCCTAGTCTGTTGCTAGGTAACGGTTTTCATCTTACATCAGTTCCTGTTTAAAACATTTCATTATTTAAATTCAGCAATATAAAACGAATAAAATCAGTTTAAGCTGCCATTTCACAATTTTTTAAAATTTTAATACGCATCTTAAAAACAAAGCACATAAATTACCAACAGATAACATTGGTTAACAGTGGGCGTGATAGAAACATATGGAAAAGCCCATAAATAATATAAATTTTAAAAATATATCGAAGTTTTTAATTATACAAAGTAACTAGTAAATTAATTAGATCTTATTCAGCGATAATATGATCACATCTATGTATAGAGAGGGTAGGTATGGTTGTCATAGGAACCTATCTGTTGTTATACCATCTTAACAATCAAGATGCTGTGCTGGTGGTGGCTCAACTTACCGCCACATGGTGTCTCTCGGAACCATCAACCCCCGGACTAGCCCATTCCTTGTAAAAGGAGGGTATGCTTTGTATGATTCCAAATAATTATTAGAAATAAACCATAAATAAATATTTTAAAAATACAAATTGTTATTCGTGTCGTGCAATTCACTAATCAAACGATACAATACGAAAGAAAAACGAATTAAAAAATGTCTAAATCTTCTTAGAGATCCTAACACCCCTGAAGAGATAATAGCCGCTATCTCTAATGGTAAGTATCTGCCTTGCCAAACAAGGCGGTAATCGTATCTGGGGGAGGGAACCGCGTGTACTGGCCGACTAATATAATTACCCCTATGTTCGCTGATAGGATAGCATAGGCATTCCACCACTTTTGGCACTACGAGTGATTTGGCAGAAGTTTCTCTTGACTGATACAGTTTAGTTTCTTCCCAGTCTTCTCGTGAATAGATCTGTAGCAAGCCAGTCGTGAGATTACTCTCGTCTGCAGCGTTCATATATATTGGGTATATCTCCCTTCTGCTTTTGAAAGACTCCTTTATTTTTTTATCTTCGTTTGATACTCATACACACAAACCGCCGCAATGGACGCCATCAAGAAGAAGATGTTAGCCATGAAAATGGAAAAGGAGAATGCCTTGGATAGGTCAGAACAACTTGAACAAAAACTCCGAGACACCGAAGAGCAGAAGTCAAAGGTGAGTAGGATTTTGGTGTTATTTTATTGATATTAGCAGTGCAATAGTACCGATTATTATTGGAATAAGGGAGTAAGATTTCTTCCAGTACGGATTACTACGATATAGGTTTGATACACTGTTTCTAGTGTTTACCATCATGCAACCCATGAAGATGTATGACTCATCCAAAATGTTGGAAAATCAGCATTTAAGACTATTTGAAAGCAAATATTATCATATATGAAACTAAGTTCTCTGATAACATTTAAACGTTTATTTACCCTTGGGCCGCTTGAGATTACTTTCCACGACCACTTTCAGCTTTTGCAATTGTAACAATTGGACAATAGTGTCTTACATTCATTTAATATTTTACCAAATGTAACTTGGTTACAAATTGGAAGAAACTATTTATAAGGGTAAATTAGAAGTCTGGCTACTAAAAAACTATTGCTAAAACTTCCATTTAAGAATATACAAGTTTCTAAACTTTGACATTGAGAGGCGGCAGCCATTTTGAAATCCGATCTTGACGTCTGGATGATTCTGCCGTTTGGTTTCTATTTTGGTTCACTTGGTGATCTCATGCAGAGGCGTTCTACTTTATTTGGCATTTAACTGCACCCAAAAGTAAAAGTTCTTGACATTTTTTAACATGATTTCATTTGGAATTAAATATCATAGTTTTTATCAAAAAGTAAATTTGAATATTTCCTAAGAATTACTATTGCTTATCAAATGACATTAAAATATTAACAGGTTTTAGATCTAAATAACCAATAAGCGCAATACTCCCATATAATATAATTTTAATACGTTTAATGCATCTTTCAAGATAATAAATCTTACTAAAAAGTAACGAGAAATTTTATGACAAAGGTTATAATTTGACCTTCAATATAACGTGTAATATTTATGATAATAATATTATTATCTGTTCAACCTTTACAGATTCTAAATCTTTATTAAAGTAATGATAACATGATGGCCAAGAAGCATTTTGGTAGAAATGCATGAATACTATGCAGCTCGTTTGATTCAAAAGTAATTCTTTGCATGGCACAACTACATGTACTAATTATAGGCATGGAAATTAACATAGTCTGATATTAATAATCTAGGTATATTTATCATTTAAGATCCTTGCCATTAAATGTTTAAATCTTTATATCTTTCAGATTGAAGAGGATCTCAACACACTTCAGAAGAAATATGCCAATCTGGAAAACGATTTCGATTCCGCAAATGAACAGCTAGCAGAAGCCAGTACAAAATTAGAAGCATCTGAAAAGAAAGCCAACGAGGTAAGTCAACTAAGCGCAATACCCTTCTCACCTGATTATCACAGGGTTTTCATACCCATAATGCAGCGCTTCGACACAGGTAAGACTGTTAGCGTTACCGTGGTGCAATGCCTTTAGAAGTCAGTTACCAAAATACCATCGTATCCGGTTACCACTATGTAGCCTATTACTATTGTGGGTCTCAAATTACACACATATATACATAATTACATACATATTGTCCACACATATAGATACTCCAACCCTATTAATACTTTTTTTTTCCCCATTATTTATTTGGTTATTGAAAATACAGAAATGCTAATTAAGGTGGTTAGTTTAAATGATGTATGGAGAGTCTAGTATTATACGATATTATTTATTAAGGTGTTCAGTCTTATGAATCTATGTCTTTAGTTATTATTGTTTAGCTGCGATCAATTTTAGAAATATAATAATGTTAACTATAGAGTGTGCATCTTGATTATATTCGTTGTGTGTACATAAATTATAATTTGTAAATTTAAATGACGTGCTATGTCTGTCAATTCAACTCTATAATCGCGGAAGAATATTGGAATGAAAACGTATATTTGGAGGGGAAAAGTTCCAGATTGTGTGATGAAAAGATCTTGCGCTCCGGTCTTTTTTGTTTTACCTCTGGAGGATATCTTAAAATTGCCGCAATTGTAAACGGTGAGTTGACAGGTATTCCTACAATTACCCTGACCCCTGCTTCTGTCGCTATAACTTATTATCACTAACTATGTACACTTTTGTAAGCTAACATTTATTTATATAGTGACCCTTTCCAAAAATCTAAACCTAGCTGTTTTCTAAAGCTTCGAAATCTTTCCTTCTTATACAGTTTGGCTATTTACCAAAACCTCGACCTCCTTGTCTCTATATGTATGTATCTTTTGCCTGAACAGTATTCTTATATAACTTTCCTCTCTTCTAACACTGTTTCATATCCTGTATTTCTGGATTGATTTTAACTTCTTTCTTGGTAGGTTTTACCCGTTCCTATATTCTTTTGATTGTGTATGTTAATATCATAATCAAGTGTTTATTTTTCGCGCTTCAACGAGTATCAAGTCACTCACGAGAAATGGGTGGGATTTAGCTGACAATTATAATATTCATTCTGTGAAACGTCCCGCCCTCATGTATTATTAATAGAAAATACGCCGGGATAGCCCGAAGTTGAGCCTCCTGTTCAACGATTGACTGATTCACTATCGGTCTCTGACGTCATCACCACCATATATGGAATGCAACGCAAGGAATGTTTGCGAAGCTGTACAGTCGGGGAGTATTGTGGAAAACATTGGCTTTGTCTTGTGGTGTACTTACCCCCTCTGCATTGAGTAGTTATTTTTAGAAACTGGTTTCCGTTCATCCAACTGGACGGTCTTTTGCTTAGACTGATCCACGTGAAAATGTAAACAAACTGACTTGGTGTACTTTGACTTTAGGATATTGAAGATGCAGATGAAACAAGTTACGCAACTTCAATGTTAATTGGATGTGATGAGATGGGTGAAAACTTATTAAGTGTTCCCGAACCCGATTATGCTGAAAATGTGGAACTTTCTCAAGATTCGCAATTATCGGCACCAGACTTATCGCAAGGCTCTGTAGACTCAGTGCCGCTTTCAGATGGAATAAAAACAAAAAAGAGACAAGGTAGTAAAAAAGTGAAAAAGAAGAAATCAAAATCTAAAAGTAAAGATGGTGAAAAAAGTGACAAAAGTGAATCAAAAAAATCTAGAACTAGCAGACGACCCGAGCCCGAAGGAGCGCCCCCTTCTGTGGCTAACATGGACGAGTACGATAGAATTATTTATAGTGACGAACCAATATTTTCGGATGTGGACATATCTGCAGACGAGGGAATCTCTGTTCAAAAAGAGAGACCAGAACGACCTCGGTCTTCTCGACCTCAAAGACAAAGTAAAAATGGTGGTATATTTATACCCGTGTGTTCACAGCTAGGACTAAACTCAAATACTATGATTAAATTTGCAATAATTGGAACCGAACTCCAGAATGTGGTTCGAATTTCTTTAAAACGGGTAGGGTGTGTGTGTTTGTGTTTTCATATGTGTGTTTCTCTTTTTTACAAAGTTATTCTTGTATCTTTTTTTTCTAGTATTTCCACCCAATGTTTAAAGCACAGCTGTTTTTGTTGATCCCCTTTTAAATATTATCAATTACCAATCTGTCAAACGAGCTACTAAAAATAGAGTTTACTTTTTTGGGAAGTTTCATAATAAGAATTCCACTCGATGCATTCGGTCTGTCTAGTTCAATAACACGTAGGTGCAGTTAGGTTGTTGATTGCCTCTCTTTTGTTTTTATTCGCTCAAGTTTGTTCACCATTGATTGTGTGAGGTTTATCTTCATCTGCAAGTTTGTATGATTATCCAAATAACGGCAAACGTGTTCAAAGTGGTCCGAGCAATTGAATGGCGTGAAAGTTTCATCAATTTAAAATTGTTCCGTTTTTCATCGTTCAACAATACTCGGCCTTGCATATAATGGAATAACATTGCTCTTAATTAGAAATTATGTCATTACCACTAGGTCTGACTATTATCGTCAGTTTTATTATGTCTATGAAAACCGAACGCGTGATGGATAGATAATACGTGATGACTTCAGAATTGTCCGCATGTCAAAATTGATATACGGCATCCTATATTAGAATAAGTGTACATGAATATGGGTTGAGCTATCAATCATATGCAAACACCCGTACTGATATGAGCCCATGACCTATGACATTTCAAACAAGTCAGACTAGTTTAGCACATGATGACAATTGGTAATATTAAACTATTATCATATTTATTTTGCTCGAAGTATTTAATCGCCTCAAGTCAAACTATTTTAGAGTTGTCAATTTGTAAATATTTCAATATAATATTAGGCTTTAGGCATTTTTTTTTGTTTGTCATCAATAGCAAAAATAATTTTATGTCGAATTCCAAACGTGCTTAACAAATTGTTTCATCTTACGCAACATTAAAGCAAAACATTAAGGGCAAGAATTTACTTTTGTCAAAAGTTTTCCATCAAAGAGTGCAGGTATTTATGGCATATTTCCACTTTAAATAGTTTTGGCAAATTCTCTACCTTCAATTTATTCCAGGTGACTCATAAAGTTAAGATAATACCGTAAACCAAATTGAGTTCACTGGTTTTTGCCAACATGTGTGTCTTGAATATGATACGGCTCTTTTTATAACGTGTACCTTATAAGATACGTATACACCCTGGCATCAATCTCCATAGTAATCATGCTAGGTATTTTTTGAGCTCGTCTGCATCCTGGCACTGTTCCAGACGTCTGCTCGCCACATCATGGCGAATGTGAAGTATACCATTAAATCTTGCTTATCCAGCAATTTAATACCACCTTTTTTACAGTTGGGTAGAAAGTCTTGATAACTATGACCGTTAATCAAGCTGTTTCTCGAAAGATGCGAATATTTTGTCCGGTATTCTTGATAACATTCTTTACAGGGGTCAAGTTCGGGTAACGTAAGAACACGAGAAGTGGAAAGAAAACGTAAATCAAACGAAGTCCATCTGTGATTTAATAAACAAAGTATTTTAAGTATCCGCTGTTCATCTAATTGGAAATATAAGTAATGAAGCTGCAACTAAGAATTACTTTTTCTTATATTAAGAAATATGATCCACCCGAATAGCAAAATCGTTGCAAATACCTTAGGGTCATTAAAGCGCCCTTGGGTTCTTTTGAGTGAATAAGCCATCACCCGGGATTGAATAATATGAAATAGATAACCCTGATTTAAAATATAGCCTAATTACGTACACTTGTTTTATCTACTTTACCTATCAGTCGTGTTGTGACAGCAGTCAGGCGTGAATTATGAATTCCAGCTATAGATAAAGATTACTGAGAAACGTTTAACTATATTCCAGTGCATTAAACCATAAAACTTGATCTTTGATCATATGATATATGAAAATATAAAAGTAAAAAAATTGTATAGGCCGACTCAGTCTGTGGTTTGAACTAATTTCAAAATAAAAAATGTTGGTTTGAACTAATTTCAAAATAAAAAATGTTATCAGATAATCAACGATACAATGAAAGTGTTACAAAAATGAATTTAACTGTTTCCTATTGAATGATTAAGATTAAATACGGAATAATATTTAAGCTGCGAGGGTGGCATTAGTTAGGGGTAAATTTAATACTGGTAAGTGGTGAAGCAATGGAGTTCATCGGAAGATGATGGCACCAGAGTTTTCCGTGTTTCCAGTACCGGTAACGTAAGTAGACTTTCATTATTAAAGATACATTTCACCGGAGTCTATTCTTACCTGTAAGTGCTATAAGTCAAATTATGTGGGTTGTTGAGTTTCTGCAGGATGAAACCTAAAAATTAAATTTATAATCATCGTTTCACGAATTATTGCTCCGACCGGGATAATTTGGTAAATTTGGTTAGATAGAGAATCTTGGCGTTTAAAAGGTCCCGTTATTTATAAAAGAAATTATATTTTCTTAGCAATGACAACTTATATTTTAATTGTTGCGCCATAATAATAGTATCATGCAAATACTGTGTATATTTTGTGTATACACATGTATGTTCACGTGGTATTGTTTTTTCTTAGTAGTGGACATCTCAGCCAACGTATCAACATTTTAATAAAAACACTTAACGTTGAGAGAATACTCTTCGAAACGTCGTCTTAAAATACACTAGTAGCTGTTTTCCATAAGTATGTGTTTTTGTTCTACATCTAACCTGATGCAATCGATATTTTCAACCAGGGTCTAAAATAAGGCTGGTGTGCATTTATGGGAGATAACTCCTCAAGTATTACTAGCTAAAAATTGCGGCCTGCGTAAGCAAAGCTCTAACTTGTCTTCAGTCGATAATTACAGTTTGCTGATCACTATTAATTCTTTTTTAATTCATGATTTATATTTTAACGCTATCTATATATAATTAGGTAAAACTACGCACTGTATTAGTTTCACCTTGCAAAAAATTTAAACCGAAGTCAGAAGGCAATTTTCCGACTTCAGAAACAAAATTGGGACTATATCGATGGATCGTTATCATAATTAACATTTTTATTATAATACCAGCATTATTACACTTTGTATTTAACTCTTTAAAATTTTGTTTGTGGCCGGGATCTCCGTCTCCAGGGGGCATTTACCCCCCCCCCCCCTCTTCCAAATAAGGTAATAATAAAACAAGGGAGTGAACTATTCACTGGGCACAGCCAGGTATTGGTCGCATTCGAGATGACAGTAATCACGTGACCATACACACCTAAGCCGGGTACTGCAAGACTTCCTGTGACCACAATCTATGACTCAGAAAATTTCATTTAAATTCATATATCAATTAGCGTTTGGACATAGTTATAGGACTTACTGTCGCGACTGTTAAAGTGACTAATTAGTACATTTTTTTAGTTACTACATGTAGTTAGTAGATTTAGCGGACTCTTTTCACAAGGCAAGGTTATCGGTATAGCTGTTGTTTGGTCAAAGCTCAACTGAAGACGTGATATTTTTGTGTGTGTGAACTATTAGTGTATATCAAATCAAAACCGCTCCAAAATGTCGTTAATAGGAAATAATAACACCTCTGGTGTTCTTGGCAATATTAAAACTAAGATGTCAGCATTGAAAAGTGAAATAGATGACTTAAAAGAAGAAAAAATACAAATGTCAAGAGAAATAGAACAGAGGGATAAGCGAATAGAAATGGTAGGTTTTGTCACGTTTTGGGCAATATACAATGTTGCACAGTGTAAAACAATGTGTGCATATTTATTGGTGAATATTAAACGTGACACAGCATGTCAGTGTATTTATTTATTGTGGTTATTCTTAAATAAAAACTGCGACAATTCATCAATTATATCCGACATTTATCGCATTTTCTGATTTGGGTTGGTCTTTCTGAGCATGCTCACTCTGTCGTAAAATGGCGTCGTTTTGAGAATTAATTTTTATGTTACTTTTAACATTGAACGTGTTATCTAAATTTGAGCAATTTATATCCCATTATTCATAGGATCTGTTTACCGTTCCATAAAAAATGCTCCGATTTTCATTTATTGCACATACTTAATTCATAATCTCAATACTCCAATCCAAATATTGTGAAGGTGAATGCAATGCCTGGTGAATTATTGGCCGGTAATATTCACTTCTGGGTTGATGGCCTTGTTTGTCAAAATTTCTAGGAATAGATAAGGAATTATTTTATTAAGATAAAACACAGTACAAATAGTGTTATTATTTCATGTTGGGTTATTTCTAATATTAGTAGATTACTTATGCAACACATTGGCATTGCTCACCATACAAATACAAAATTATATTAGTAGGCCTATATGCACCAGAATTAGTAATTCTTTGTTCAAATGCTTACTCATGCTTTATCATAGAAACCGAGAGGTCCAAATAACATGTTTTGTAAAATTCTTGTATCGATCTGTATTTAAAAAAGTAGGATTTTCAAAATATATCCCATCATAATCCTGGGCTCAAAGATTATCCTAGGTTTAATGTTGTTTCAGCTCATCATTGTAAATTAAATCTTCTTGTATATTGACATCCTTTGATCTTTGGTTAAGTACCTGTAATCATAAAACAGAAGGTGTTAATTTACACACCCTACACCATCTCATTAGGAATACACATTTGATATTTATTTGTTGGATTATGGCTTTGGGCCATCAAAATTATGAAGATTAGGCATAATATATACTGGTATATAGAAAGTTCTGTTAAGGTCTATTGATGTAAGGAAACAGGGATTATTGATATTATTGTTCTGAATAGTAAGTATATTGTGTAGCATAGTACAAAATAAAAATAAGTGATGTGTAACCATGTGAAGAATTAAAGCCTGCTAATTTTATGGTTTTGACCCATAAACTTATGTCAACATGTATATGTAGTACTAAATTGTTATTCATTTTTTCCTTATTGGTAGGTGCATTTCTTCTGCAGAATGTGTATTTTTCCTTTCTAGAAACTTGATGAATAAAAGTATTCTGGTAT